CAAAAATATCTTCTTTCCATGTTATTTCCAATAGAAAAAAATGGCATGCCTGCGAAAAAAATTGGTTTTATGGTGTAGATACCCTTTTTTTTTTCGTTTTATGGTGTAGTTTATGGAACAAAGATACCCAAGATATACAAATCATTAGTACATATACAGAAAAATGCTAGTTTGCCTGTTATTTATTAAAAAATTTATTAACCAAGATAATGGCTGAATTGATGACAAGGCTGATTGATTTTTCCTTATGTCTCAAGTGCTGTACGCTGGTGACAGCAATCATTCTACGGTCAACGCATAAAACACTTATTTTCTCTAATTCGATTTCTTTAATTTTCTCTAATTGAAAGCGACAGTGTTGCCATATTAAAATGTAATTGTATGGGTATTTCACCACTGCACTGCAAGAAAATCTACAAAATAAAGTAGTTACTTTTTGTAAACAATTCTGCGTTAAAGCTAAACGTTAGTAACTTCTGACAATTAGTGTCCGTTTGGGTTTAACGCAGAAGTGTTTACAAAAACTATTTTATTTTGTAGATTTTCTTGCAGTGCAGTGGCGAAATACCCATATAGGATTTTTGGAGAGATGAATCCGCCACATAGGATATAGACATTTGCCATAATATTCTACATAAGAAATCGCAAGCGATCTTCATTTCCAAGCCAACTCTGACACCGTTCTTCTGTTTGATCATATAATATTACGTTAAATTGTTTAATGATAGAAATCCGTAGATCTCCGGATTAATCAGTAATTCTGGCAACACTTTCTGCGGCAACCAAATCTGTCGACTGAAAGCAGAATTAAGGTACGCGCACACTGACCAGAGCCGCACGCGCCTCATCGACCAAAAAAAAATATTGTTTGTGTTACTTTCAATGAAGGTGCCCACACTAGCCAGAGCCGCACGAATCGCATCGAGGAAAATGCGGCCAGCATTGTTGGGCCAGAATGATTTTCGGTCAGTGCGGCTAGTGCTGCTGACGTCACACGCAATTCCTTCCACTCTACGCGGGTAGCCGAATCGAACTAGCCGAAGAGGAGATTAGAAATTCAATATGTTAAGAAAGTTCGCAAATTTTTCATGGCTCATTTTCACATATTGAAAAATGTTTAGTTCGTCCTTAATTAAATATGGAAATAATATTTGGAATTCCCCTCCTAAAGGTAAAATCTTTTCAAATATTGTGAACCCATAACCTTCGATTCTTTCTCGTGATTTCTTTTTCTTCTATTAGCAAGGAGCTCATAATTATCTTTTGTTCGTTGTCATTCATTGTCGAGAAATATTAAAAAAACACGCTTATCACATCAGACAGGCGTCCGGAAACGACTGATGAGAAATTCTATTGGCAAATACAGATGTAGTAGGGGCAAAAAGAAGCAAAAGAGCGAATAATGCGGTGCGTGCGGCTCGTTCAGTACGGGTCAGTGTGCGCGTACCTTTACGGTGCAGTATTCTTTATCCGTTGCGCTGTAAACGACTCCATGCCCTAGACACTCAATGGTAATTTTATAGAACTACAAATTTAGTTTCTTCCGCATCGCCAGACGGCGCAAAAGACATTAAAGTACAGGTTTCTAATTTATATTATGAAGATGACATGACAGTCTCTATGTTAACTACTGTCGATGGTCTAGTTTTTGTCTAGTTGACAAAATGTTGGTGATCCGTCAAGTTATTTTTAAATCATTATTTAAATAATTATTAATTCAGATATTCCTGATTTGTCGGAAAGTTCAGTGATTTGTGTTTATAGTTTGTGTTTTTATTAGTTTGTGCATTCTGATACTTACAGTCGATCATCATTTTCGTGTTAGATACTAAACTTTTTTATTAAAGTCATTTTGACATTTTAGAAATAATAAGTTATAAACCAAATAAAAAAATAGTTTAATCATAAATAAGTAAGTACATAGTTGGTAATATATAGTATTTTTAGTAACAGTTAATTAGTAGTCTATAATATTTTTACTATATTATAATTTAGTTGTTAAATCAAAAATATAGGCGCTATGTGATCTATTGTTGGTGTTTAAAATGTATATGTTATATAATTTTAATTTTGTTGTAACTATGTTACACTTCTAATGATCTAATAAAACATAAAATGGCAGTAAAAAAGTCTATATTTATTATTTTATATTTTACAAGGAATAATTTTGCGCTTGAATAACGTTACCGTTTTAATTAGCGTTAATAAGTAACGGAACGCTAAAATTATGTTATGCCAAAACTCTCCATTAGTTTCTTCCGGATCACCATGTGGCTCTAAATGACAGACCCATTTGTATTATATCAGTGTCCAATCTATCTCTAGTACGTGACATTAGTCTATGAACGACTCTCAGCGCAGAGCTAAACTAAAGCCCCGTTCTCAGAACTATGATTGTCGCCAGCGACACGTCAAATGAACCAATGAGAATCGATACAAAATTCAAACAGCTGTTAATTTTGAATTTTGTGCAGATCTCATTGGTTCCTTTGACATGTTGCTCGACAATACTAATGTTCTGAGAACGGGGCTTATATCTCGGACAGACTGATAGTAACGTCAGCTACATCTAGGACAGATTTTGTACCACGAAATGGCCCATAATGTTGGGCATCTTCTTATTTCTTCAACCAAAGGGGTTAGTCAAAAGCCTATATCCGGCTAAATATCTAAAAGACGGGTAATGCTGTTTTTGAAAGTTTGGACATTGGGTATAAAATATAATGACAATCGCAGACTCAAAAATCGTGTCTGCAGTGTTGCCAGAATTGTTTTTTTTTCAATAGTAATGCAGATTTTTGTTTTTTAAGTACAATGCCATGGATTTTATTACATTTTTAAATTCTACGTAATATTACTAATATTCAAACCTATTTTTTAAATAGGTCGTTTATAGGTCTTAAAAAATAATTTATCGTATATCTTGAAATCTTTAGGTTCACCTTCAGCTTCCCCAGTTACTACACCCGTGCCCAAAATAATAGCAGCCCCAGAAAACTACGATATCACTAATATGCCTTTCGGAGACTTGGAGTACCTGACTAAATCTCTTTGTGAACCAAATAATGAACAAGTAAGATATCAATATCAGAATTCTTATTGATCAACTTAATCAACATAAATCCTTACAGATAGAGAACACCTCTAATCTTACAATGGAAGCCGGTGTTATGGAACCCTTTGTAGAAATAAACCTTGATCAGAGCGATTCGAACGATGGTCAAAATCATACGTCTGACGGTGGATCTCAAAACCCTGGAAATTTTTTAAAAAAAATTGGATTGCTAGAAACGAATTCTGTGAGTACAATTGGGAATTGTACAATATCAGTAGCCAGTTCCTCGCAAAAATCTTAAATCAGATTTATTAATTATTTAGTTGTACTTCATTTTAATTTTTATAAAACGAAATATTATATTTATTTTTTTATGTCTTAAATACGTTTAAATAGCACTTTTTGAATTAAAATAAAAAACCAAACTTTTTGAAAAAAAAAAACAAACCAAACCAAACCAGAACACGTTATTAGTAAATGCGCCGAGGCGACAACCGTTAGTGCCCTAAACTTTGGTACGGCTGATGTCGCGGATGGAGAGCTGGCCTCTGTGGAGTCGTCTCAGATACTGGCTTTTATCAAAGCCCTGAAACTGTATGATGAGTTATAACTTGTTGTTATAACTCAAGAAAGAGGAACATACAATAGATATGTAAGATCGCGGTGATTAACCCCCTCCATTCTATCCTCGAATATTGATCCTCGAGAGTTCCATTAATGGAATCATCATCTGAGGAATCCTCTGGCTCATAAAATTTTCTTTAAAGTAACGTTTAGTTTTAAAATTTTCTTTGTTTACATAATTTAAAACCCCAACTACTCCAAGACCTGTATAATATGTCGATTGATACCCGAATAATGCTCGGTGCGTTTTGCTTGCTGTTTGTTGGCACACTGTACCTAAATGAAAACATTTTTTTTAATAATTTTTCATATTTTTGTGTAAATAATTTGACGTGAGAGGAAAAATGTTCAGGTTGTCCTTAGAAAAGTGCTTATTTTGTGTCTCTCTCTTTAACTGTTGATTTTGAAAATTATCTGGTAACCTTTCAGGCCAAATGAAAACAAGTAATTCGGGGAATTACTTTTTTTTTTCATTTTAAACGTTATCACCATAAATCGTATATCGCCTCGATTCTCGAGAGCACAGTACACCACAGACGGTATTAGTTTCGTATCGCGGAATCCTTGAAGATCGATAAAAATCCTCGAGACATATCGAGGATTTTAGCACTCGAGTAACCGAGTATTCTTCAGTCGAGTGATACTATCAATTCATTCTTTCATTACTATCAATTCATCTGTCTCTAACCCTGGAATACTGTAATAGCGTCGAGGTAGCAAGAAAACAAGTGTTCATCAAAAAAGAAATTGATAGGAAAATAAATAGTGTATGAAGGAATGTCACTCGAGACAAGTTGAATTAAAATTATTATATCCAGCTAGGACACCTTATTAGGCTTGCCACACCTGTACTTACAGGTGGGAACCACGACTGGAAGCCCTGAATATATAGATGCGGGCAATAAAGTTATTAAATAGGAGAATATGTATATCTATATAGGGTCCTAAATAAAATTGGAAATTAAAAATTAAAAAATCGGCTAAAAGAATCCAAAAGATATAAGCTACTACTGGAAAGCTTAAAACTATTGAATTACTTAAAGAAAGTATAACAAAGCAAGGATATTAAATTACTTGTTAATCTAAATACCAAATTACACAATATCCTGGATCACACAATAGGAAAATACACCTGGATTCTATCTATATAAGAATGAATGCTGAAAAGGAATAAAAGAACCAGTGAGGTTTCTTTCTGCCTTATCTATTCCAAGTTATGAGCTCTCAATCAACACTAATCCCATCTTAATCACAAAATATAGAAAGAGCAAATCACCAAAAACACAAAGATTTAAGTAATTTTGGATAAATAAAAGGCATGTAAAATTTGAGATGTTTATTGTCCTTACAATGTACCGCAATGAAAAAAAATAATTAAGTATGTACATAAGTTACGGAAACCTGGAAATTGATAAGAATTACACAAAATAATTACTATACAGAGAAGCATGATTCGGCACGGCCGAACCATCAGTACTTGATATCACTTTTCAATTAATTAATTGTATCAACATTTTCCTCCGTTAAAGAGAGAATTGTAATTATTTTCGCATCCTAAATTCTATTCATAGAAATTAAAAAATAATAATAATTTATTTCGCTAATTCTTTCATTCTATTGAGAGCGCTGCCTGCCTTGAACCAAGTGATTTGAAGGTCGTTCAGGGTGTGATTGAGCTGGATTTTATCGACGCTACCGTCTGCATGTTTGATTTCGCATTCTACGGGTTTGCCGGGCGCCAAACTCTTCAAGTTTTTCAAGCTGATCTTATCGGTGGGTTGGATTTTGTCGTAGTCGCTGGGATTGGCGAAGGTGAGGGGCAATAGACCCTGTTTCTTCAGGTTGGTTTCGTGGATACGGGCAAAAGATTTGACGATGATGGCGCGACCACCCAAATGACGCGGTTCCAGAGCGGCGTGTTCTCTCGACGAACCCTCGCCGTAGTTTTCGTCCCCGACTGCTACCCATCTTACGCCTTTCGCTTTGTAGTCGCGAGCTACATCAGGTACTGCTCCCCACTCTCCGGTGAGTTGATTTTTAATTTTGTTCATTTCGTTGTTTTCGGAATTTGTGGCACTGAAAAAATTAAAAATCAAAAATAAAATTAAAAAACTGTATCCAATTGTAAAACTGATTCAATTCATAACTTCTCTTGACTATTCCATATGTAAAAGGAACATCAGAAAATATCAAACGAATAACCAAATAATATCTTCTTCTTACAGTGCCATACTCTATACAGAGCGTCGGCTACCTCTCGCATGTACTTGTGATGTGTGTCATCAGTGTTTCACAAGTACACACATTGGCAAACATTTTTGATCGTGCAAGCGAGCGACCGACGTGAGCAAACGTTAGTGTACGTCCATAGTGCACCGGGTTTCCGCTTTCCGGTGACCGGCTTATATCGCGGCAGGTCTTATCGCTTTATGAACCTGCGCCATTGCAGCAGCCAAGCAGGTAGTGCAGGTAGTACAACCGCTTGTAGGAAGCAGGAATGTCATTTGGCTTCATGGAGCTACCCCGTGTGGATCTATTATGTCTTTTTATTACCTAGTGATAATGTTCATATTAACTGATACAAAAAAGTATTACTCGCGTTCATGAAATTAATCGGTCTCATTTTGAATTTGTTAAATATCATACATTATATCCACAACACACAGCTCATCCTCAAAAATTTTACGAATATTTCCGCATGAAGAAAGAAAGGTTCAAGTATATTTTCAACAAAATTGAGAATCGTGTAAAAAAATGCTGCAATTTTCAGAATACATAGATGTACACAAGGTTACGATAAAAATCGATTAATTGTTAATCATTTTTTATGGTAATAGCAAAACAATTTCCGATGCACGTGATCAACGTTCAAGTGACAAGCGATGGCGACAGCACTGCCAGATTGTGATGGATTTATGAGATGAATCTTAATTTAAATGTAACAAACAATATATTTATTATCATTTTTAAAGATTTTTACACTTTATTTTTAATTTAATAACTAGTAATTTAGTAATTAATTGATTTATTTGTATTATAGCTTATTTTACTTATTACATATTGGCAAAAACTAGTCCATTATGAAGATTATTCTAAGATTTATTAAGGGTTATTTATTTATTTATTGATGGACATCTTACAACGCCATAAGTGGTAATAACAAGTAAGAGGGTGCTATTAATGCACAAACTAATAATTACAGAATTTAATGAAAACTAACGTAGAAATAACTTTGAAAGTGGTGTAATGTGCTTATCAATCAAACTTACTTCTCTGACTGCAGTCAAGGGTAATAAAGGACCTTTATTGTCAGGTTCTCGTTCAAAATAGTTTATCAGGAAAGCTACAAGCTCTTTGCTTCGATTATTTAAATGCTTCGGCATATTTTCAACACACAATTTCAAGAAATGCAATACAAAAACTCGAAAATTTAGTTCTTAAAAAAACTGTTGATGCTTAAAAATATAATTTTTAAAAAAGACTATGAAAATAGGCAAAAAAAAAACGAAAATTACTCACAAAGATTCAACAACAACACGGTATTATACAAAACAATGACTGACACTAGGATAACTGTCAAATAATAAACGACATACATACATACAGCCGTTACTCGCTGACGAGTATTCGACACACATAAAGAAAATGGTCACGCAAGGCGTTTTCTTTCATGAGCTTTTCTGTGACTGAAAAGCCCGATACGTGATGTTATCTGCCTACCGCACTCCGGACATTCAAAAATCTCATTGCTTTGTTGCCTCTCTACTTCATTGGAAGTTTAGAAATGAGTATAGCAAAGTAGATTAAGTTTTGGGGGAGCGAGGGAGTTGAATTAGTTTCAAAAGGGGTAGCTGTGGTAAAACTGTTGAGCGGGTGAAGCGAGCAAGTGACAAAAAGAAACAATTATTTATTCGGGTTAAATCAGTTTAAGCCGGTTGAAGCTGGCTGACTGGTGCACTATGGCCACACATATACTGTTGTTCGTCTATTTTTTGCCGCTAGTCTGCCGCGGCAATTCGCTCGATCGTGCGATTCGATCAGATCACATCGCGTGATCGCACTTGTTTGTTTTTCAAACCAGTTTGATTTTTGTCGCCGAATCGCGCGATCAAAATTGAAAAGCGCTCTATTGTAGATACTACGACATAATGAAGCTTCTTAAAATTCGTTGTAACATGGATGTACTCTTCTCAAGTACTCTCAACAATATATCCAAAATGTTTAATTTTTATTGCATAACGCAGAAATAAAGCCGTATGCTGTCTTCAGAATATTAATAAAAAAAAATGCAAAATATATAGACATACTATCCCTAACTAACTAAAGCCAAACAATAATATTCTTTGCTTATATCACCTAATACCAATATATGGCAACAGCGCCCTTCATAATGTATTTTCTGTGTAAATACTAGCACCTCAATAAAAAAAAGAATGTGTCCTTATCTTTATATGACTCCGCAAAAAATCAAAGATGCCGGCTTCTTTCATAGCATTGCCACCGACCGCTGTCGGGTTACTCGGAAAGAAATCTACGTCGCCGGGCGACAACTAAAATCCAGTTAATATTTTATTATAATCGATCCTGACGAATAAATGAATTTCATAAATGAATGAATTTTTATAAATGAATGGTTTTTGCTGCCGAATTAATAGAATACAATATTTCAAGGCAGATGACGCATCAATTCGATAATTTTTATTCGAATAGTTTTCAACGAATGTTTTCTTACCAGCTATCGAATTATTCGAATGAATTGCAACTATCGAATGTTTCGATAGTATTCATTAGATAGTTCCCACTACTAATAATAAGTAAAATACTAGTAGCTTACCCAATAAACATATTATTTGAAATATTGTCCAAATGTCCACGGTATTTCAACCAGGGTCCTGCCGCTGATATGTGATCGGTGGTACACTTTCCTTTGACCTTGATGAGAACGACCAGATCGTCGAGATCCTTTCCGTCCCATTTGTCGAAGGGTTCCAACAGTTGTAACCGTTGCGACTTGGGGTCGACTTGAACGTTGACGCCGCTGCCGTCGGCTACAGGGACTTGGTAGGTGTCCTGGCCGGGATCGAAACCTTTGGCCGGAAGCTCGTCGCCGAACGGGGAGGATAGTTTGAATTTCTTACCGTCAGATCCTGCAAATAAAGTAGATTGTCATCGAAAGCTTATTCACTGCTAACCACTCATCTTGACTAGTTTTTGAGTATAGTCTTTACAATTTTACTTGGATCAGCGTTAAATATGTAGTATAACCAAATTATTTCATCACGAATAAAAATAAAATAGCAAAAATATGTTGTGGCTATCAGTAGAAGTCACGTGGACTCGAGGCATGCAATTGGTTAATATCGAATTAAAATAGCCAACCGCTTGGGAGATTCTTACGAGAGATAGGTGAGGTCTGCGCTGATTGAGCATTTTTTATTTATTTTTAGTGACAACAAACTTCGGATTGTCACGGGGTTTTTGTTCACAACAGGACACTGTCTCCTCAACGAACGCCTAAGTAGGTTGAAGCTAAGAAACAGCGACGAATGCAGATTCGGTGAGGAAACACCAGAACAACCCATCACCGAGTGCGCCGATACGACAACCATTCGTGCCATAAACTTTGGTACGACTGATGTCGGAGATGAAGATCTAGATTCTGTGAAGCCGTCTCAGATACTGGCTTTAGTCAAAGCCCTGAGACTGTGTGACGAGTCAGATCGTTAGAGAACGTTATAACTCAAGAAAAATTCTAGATTCTACTTATTTTTATTATATTATTAAATATTACGTGCGCTTATGGGATCTTTCAACATTTGTTTGGATTTATTTAAAAAACACAATTTGCTTTGTTATTTTTAATAAGACTACGTAGTAGAAACTAGTATCTGAAATTGTTTAAATCATAATCTACAATCCCAGTGATAAACATTAAATAATACTTAAAATTAGTTTACTTAACTTCTAAAATAGTAGCAATACTAAATCTCATTGCACTGCATTGGTATAGGTTAGTACAACAGAAAAATTTTGAGATATGAGAGGAATTTCCAAAAATGTAATAATATACTGGGTGTCCATTTAAAATAACAAAGATGCTATCACTTTTTAAATGATCTGGCAACACTGTAACGCTGATGATATTTTGGATAGATGAAGCCCGTGTCTTTATATAAAAATCAAAATTTTCATCACCAGTCCTCCAATTACCATCGCCGGAAAGTCGGTTACCGGTAGCGGCTAGACAGCTAACTTTTGATCCATAAGGATAGTTCGGGATTTTCATTTTTTCCTTCCATTATAAGCTTAATGCTAACTAAAATTTAAAGTTTGTGCCACTTCTAGAAGTACCTTAGAATTTTGATGACGGTGAGTGAGTCGCTGGCGAAATTAAAGAAGTTTGACTAGAAAAAAATCATAATCCTTGAGTTATTGTTGGTACATACATATATAAATAAAATTAGAAGAGACGGTTCCGATTAATTCCAGTTTTCTACCTTTTTCTCGACTGGAAAATCAGTAACCGGTAGCGGCTAGACAGCAACTTTTAATCCATAAGGATATTTCAAGATTTTTCATTTATTCCATTGTTTATAAGCTTAAAGCTACCTAAAGTTCGATATTTGAAGTTTGTAACTCTTCTAGAAGTACCTTAGAATTTTGAGTGAGTCCATGTCGAAATTAAAGATATTTGACAAAACGATAATTCATAACCTATGCGATATAATTACTAGATATTTTGGTAATCTAGCCAGCTATAGTATGTCCTCTATGTCCTCATGTGTAGTGAAAATTAATATTCTTGCTTTATCCAGAACGAAGTTACAAGGTGGTCAAAAGTGCCGCTAATACCTTCGAGAAAAGGATGGTACGGCTGTGCTAGAAATGGCGGGCGCACCCCCTGCAGTGCCCCCAGATAACTTTACATCTATTCACGTATTTTAATATACAAAAGAATTGTGTCAGATCTCGACATATTTTTAGTCTAGAACATTAAATTGATCTGATTTTCTCAAATTTTTACACTATTTGTTACCCGAAAAAAATTACGTATTATTTTTCCTCTAAGTCCTCTATCCTCACGTGACATTCGGTTTGACCCCCATTTATGGACGCCCGCCAAATACTCTTGACTGAGATTACAGAAAATAAAATTTGCCTGTGCGGCATTGTTAAAATGATAAATACAACTGTCACTGTCAGGGATCCTCCCATTGGACACACTATAAACAACAATCTACAAGCCAGACCGCTTGAATCCGCTAAAATCGTGAATTTGAGATAGCCGAAATATTCTTTGTTACAATCAAAACAAGTCAAAAACTATCAAAGTGAAGAGATAAGAGTTCAAGTTCATAAACAGTTCAACGGGAAAATTAAATTGAAAGAATGTTTGCGATTTTTTCTGTATTAATTTCTAGTTTCGCGTGAAATTGCTCAATTTCTATAGGAATCGACAATAATATTTATATCAACCAGACGATAGTACATACAGTCAAAGATTTTGTAATACAGAGATATAATGGCGTAATTTGTAAAGCCAATAATACGAATTATCGCCTTGGCAATTTTTTAAGGCGATATAGTGTCAAATTATAATGTAAAATAAAGGATATCCTGTGCATATTTTTGGTTTCTCTAATTAGCCTGAGAAATAATTACAAATGTTATCGAGGTCACTTTAAAAGTTTATAAATATTCTAATCCTTTCTAAATACTCTATTTCTATTACCCCATAAATTAGTTAGCACATTCCTGGAAATCATGTTAGATATTGTTTGATAAAGAGATAAGAATAATATAATTAAAAAGTAAACTTATAAATAAAAAAGTAAACTCTATTGTGCGATTGAGCGTTTGTAAAGTAAACTACCTTGCTACAATATACTCATTACGCAGGGAAGAATTATTATTAATACAATATATTATAATATACCGATCTGGTCATCGAATCTGCGTGATCTGGATTTTAGTGTAAGAGTACAAGTGTAAGACAATGATGTAGACAGCGTAATGGGAAATTAAATGTATTAAAAAGTGATAAAAGTTGGCTTGAAATATTTTTTCTATGCGGTATTGCCAGATTTTGCATCAAAATTTCAAACCGCATAAGCAGGCGTTTATGAAAATTGTTGCATCTTTATTTTTCACAATTAGTTACTCATTTTACTACAGCTGTAAGAGATTATATTTAGCTTAGATACATTATCTTCATTTCAGTAGCATACATGAAAGTTTTTAAAATCGTTTATTTTTTTCTACCCATATTTTCCTACAAACGTAAAAACCGGCAACACTGTATGCCGCTTTTTATTTTGTCTCTATCTTTGAATAAGAAGGTCTCTATGTCTGTCAACCGGTCATTTATATTTATCTCTGTCGCATGCATTAAAATACAGACCACGCAGATGAAGTGACAAGATCTTGTAGAGAAACACTTAGTCATATACATAGGTATGTCTAAAGCGTAATAAAATATATTAAACAAGGTATTTATTGTTTAAATAGACTCTATTGTTTAAACAGACTGCCAGACATAAAAGAGGTATTATTTTTTTTAATAAAAACAAGCTGGCCATGTACACATTATAGATATAACTACACAATGTGCCTCAAAAAACGACAGAAAAATCAACTCATATTTTAGGCTCTTGTAATTTGATACAAACTGTCAAAGTAATAAAAATCCCTATTTTCTATTTAACTAAAAATCTCATGGTATGTAAAAAATAAATAAAAAAAAACTTGATATCAAGTTAAAAGTAACCAAATTACTTTGCTAAAAATGTATCTTATGTCGATTAATAAATAATATCACTTTACAAATATTTACCTACTTCAGCAATAAAAAATTATAAAACTTAAAAAAGTACTTGTACTTGTGTAAAAGTACTAAATATTGATTCTGATCTATTTAAAATCAATATTTTTTTCACTTAAAATTCTTAACAAAAGTGTTTCATCTACTACGTAAACATGTCTAGATAGATTTTCTTTTATTAAGAAAGTTAACAGCTATGAGCTATGAGTATAAATGAAATCTACAATTTTTATAAATCATTTCATACTCACATTTGGGACAAAAGCGCATACTTAATTATTATATAATCATATACTGTGTGATTAATAAAGTTTATGATCAAGCAAGCTTTGTGGATACATAAGAATTATCAGAAATTACATATCAAAAATTTTTAAAGTGTCAAAGTAACATAATACTTTTACGTTTTTTTATTGAATATCATAATATGATAAAAAAGTTTACAAAGAACACTGGGTCATAAAACTTGTATATTACCATACAATAAAAAAAACAGCGTCAAAGTTGGTTTGGAAATGATGAATAGAATTATTTTATATGTAAAAATATATGGTTAATGTCATCAATTTGCAAGCCAACTAGACGCCGTTTCTTATCATATTTTAACAGTATACCGATCTGGTCATTGTAAAAACGTGGTCTGGATTTTAAAGCATAAGGCAATGATGTAGACATCCTAATGAAAAAAAATTGGCGCCGGGAGGCACGTATAGCCGCCCATACTAAAATATGTTAATAAAAAGTTGGTAGGCAGTTCTTTTAGTTTCAAAGTAAAGGATTTTTTTTCTTTTTTTTTATCTCAAAAACTGCGATTTTGACTGATTTTAATGTTATTACAAATTTTGTTGCAAATATTATTCCTAATCTTAAATTGAAAACCGCGTTTCACTCGCTACTGTAATTTTGGAGTTACGAGTTTTTAAAATTTTTAACCCCCTCCCCCACCAAAAACTAATGGCCAGATTCTCGAGTGCCACAGTATTTTTGTGCCAAATTTGGTTAAAATCGGTTTAGCGGTTTTTGAGTTATGTTACAGACGAACAGACAGACAGACATACAGACAGACGTGACAGACAGACACGTCTGTCTGTCTCTCCTGAGCATGAAAATATTTTGTATTTAGGTAATTTATGACCCAAATAACTCATTTTGAGTAAAATTAAAAAAACTGTTTTTTACCAATCTTAATAGTATATATCTACCATACCTATATGGTCGGCTAATAAAATGTATTAGAGATAAAAGTTGGGTTGATATATTTCTTCTGTGCCGGATTTTGCATCAAAATTTCAAACCGCACATATAGGCGCTTACGAAAAATGGTACATCTAGGGTTGGAGCTTTATTTTCACAATTACTTTCTCATTTTACTACAGCTGTAAATAATTCTCTTATATTACTACACTGTAATAATAAATTATATTTAGCTTAGATATATTATCTTCATTTCAATAGTAGGTATACATGAAAGTTCCTAAAATAGTCTCTTTTTTTCTAACCTATTTAAGGCTAAGATCAGGTCGACAAGAGAAGGGTCTTGGTCGATGTTTACCTACATGTTTAGAAATGAAACGCTATGGCAATCTTCATAGTCGGAAAGAAAAATGCGAAGGTTATTACCTAACCACACATATCCCTGACTACACACGTAGAAACCGGCAACACTGTATGCTGGTTTTTATTTTGTGTCTCTGTATGTCAACCGGTCGCATTTATTAAAATACAGACCACGGAGATAAAGTGTCCATGACCGTATATGATTGTCGCATATCAAGACGATCAAAAATGCTATAAAATAAGTATTCTAATTATTACCTGTGAGTTCATCGGTCACAGGGTTGAAATCCAACGTTCCGGCGATACTCAAAGCAGTAACCAATTCGGGTGAGGTAACAAAAGCGTGAGTGGCAGGATTGGCATCATTACGACCGGTAAAGTTACGATTGTACGACGTAACGATGGTGTTCTTCTCGCCCTTCTTAACGTCCTTACGATCCCATTGACCGATACACGGACCACAAGCGTTCGCTAAAACCTAGAAACAAATAAAAGGTAATAAATTACGATAAATTTTAATACAAATGTTATATTTACAGTGCCGCCGAATTCGGTTAGAGTTTTTGAAATCCCGTCTCTTTCGATGGTAGCGCGAATCTGTTCCGATCCAGGTGTGACGTTGAATGGGATTTTCGATTTAATACCATGTTGCATTGCTTCTTTGGCGATACTGGCACATCTACCTAATTTGCAGAAAAAAAATAAAAAATAAAATCTTGTGCTGTTCAAAATATATTGAAATAATGTTTGGTCAGCGTGAGAACAGACTTTATTTCAATAACTGAGAGAATTGTTTTGTTAGACTTTTTAATTGACACATTGTAATTTGATTTGAATTTTTGCGCTTAGTGTTGTGTTTTTTCGGGGTTCAGTTTATGATACTTATGGTTCATTTTAATAATTGGTTTCATGCAAATTGTATAATTCTGGGATTGAACTACAATGAGAATATTATGAATCTTAGACAGATTTTTATAAAACATCTTTTATAACAATTATAACATTTTATCAACTCATTGTAAATCAAAACCACCAAGTTAGCATACCCTGCTTTAATATGTTTTAAAAAAATGAAACGCCACTGATTAACCCGAATTTAAGTCAGGCCTATTAAGGTACTTTGGCTGTCATACCAAATTTTGTTAATATTCTTCTTCCTCAGTCTTTTTTTCAATGAGCAATTGCAATAAAAATATTCATTATCCCTTATGTAAATCACATTAATTTATATTAGAATCTTCTAATAAATCATAACTAAATATATATTTAACAATATTTTAATTCTCCCCTTAACCTCTCAAAATATTAACTGTTAATATCTTACCCATATCTTCATAGGAGCTGTTGGTACAAGAACCAATAAGACCAACTTTAATATCCAAAGGCCAACCATTCTTTTTGGCATTAGCTCCCAGTTTACTGATTGGACTAGCCAGATCAGGAGTGAAAGGACCGTTTATATGAGGTTCCAGTGTATCCAAGTTAATTTCGATGATTTGATCATAGGGAGCCCCTATAAAAACATTGAATTAAAATGATCAATGTCCCAGATAAATTGATAAAATACCTGGATCTCCATTGAGTAAAACTTTTTCAACTTTGTCGGCTGCTTTGGCAATTGATTCTCGTTGAGTTGCCTTTAAGTAGTCACTCATTCTCCTGTTGTATGGGAAAACAGATGTAGTGGCTCCGATTTCAGCACCCATATTACAAATAGTGGCCATACCAGTGCAAGAAATAGATTCTACACCTGGCCCATAGTACTCCACGATAGCTCCAGTACCGCCCTTGACAGTTAGAATGTCAGCAACCTTCAAGATGATATCTTTAGGCGAGGTCCATCCAGAAAGTTTACCAGTTAAGTGCACTCCAATAACTTTGGGACATTTCAATTCCCATGGGATGTTAGCCATGACATCAACAGCATCGGCTCCTCCTACACCAATACACAAACCACCTAATCCACCACCATTCGGAGTGTGGGAGTCGGTACCAATCATAAGTAACCCTGGGAAAGCATAGTTTTCCAGAATAATTTGATGGATAATACCAGATCCGGGTTTCCAAAATCCAACTCCATATTTGTTTCCTGCTGAACTTAAGAACTCATATACTTCTTTGTTTATGTCCTTGGCACGTGCTAAATCTTTAGGACCACCAACTTGGGCTTCAATCAAGTGATCGCAGTGGATTGTGCTTGGTACTGCAACTTTTTTGAGACCCGAAGAGATGAACTGTAACATAGCCATTTGGGCTGTGGCATCTTGCATAGCCACTCTGTCAGGACGTAGACGCAAATAGGAGGTTCCTCTTGCAACTTCCTATTAAAAAAAATTGTTTAGAGGAATTAGAGAAAAGTTTTTCTAATAATTGTAAATTATTAAAATCCATTCAATCCTTTTCTATTTTATTCTATAAAAAGATACACAAATTAATAAATAAAATGTAATTTCATTCATTAATTAATTTAATATCAGAACATTACATATACATTAATGATTATTGTGCAGGGTGTCCCATTTTAGTTGAAATCATACGGTATCTCCGTTATTAGTAAAGATAGGACGATGAGGTTTGCACAAACCACTGCCACCTTTTTGTCAAATGAAAGATGTCAACAAAATTTTCATAGCCCTCTTCGTTTCTGAGCTACAGGGTCTTTTCGATTTTGCAATTTGGGACAATCGTTTCTCCTTTATTATGGATGATATCGAGAAGGTGAAAACTGATTCTTGTAGAACTTTTTACGTAGAATACAGTGCCGTAGTCTGTTTCTCAATGAAAAAAATATTTTTGAAAATATGAACTAAAGTTAAGTTTTTCCAAATGGAACACCCTGTATATTTATAAATCATATGATCCGCCTTGCTATGAGCTTCTCAAAAATATATATCACTCTATATTTATTTTCATTATTTACTGCAATATTTAAAATATGTAATTTTTTTATTAGTAGGCCCTGATAAATAATAAAAAATCAAAATGGTATTTACTAAAATTGTCATGCAAATATATTAAAATTTTATTTGGAATTGATATATTTTACTTTTGAATCTCTGAATATATTTTTCTTTTTTTTAAAACGAAATTTATTATAACAGGATGGGTTTGCAAATATATAAAAGCTTGCGTTATTATAGCATTTTCCAGGTGTTCGACATTGTTATAATTTCATATTTCGAAAATCACCAAAATCAGAAATCGAGAGAGGACAAATCCGGGAATCAGGGAGGCCATCATATTATGGGTCCATTGGTTCCAATTCATTGATTTGAGAAATAATAATTTAACAAAATTCTAATATTTTCGTTGTAAGTTAAGTTGTGAGGGGAAGCCCCATCTTGCTGAAAGTATATTTCACGTAAATTAGATAAAGGAATATTTAAAAATTCCGATACGATAGCTTCCAAGATTTAAAAATAGCGGTAGAAAGTTTCCCTAACATAAAGAATTTATGTTAGTCTTTTAAAAAAACATAACTATAGTTCATATCTTCAAAAATATTCTTTTCATAGAGAAACAGACTACGCCACTGTATTCTACGTAAAAACTTTTACAATAAACAGTTTTCACCTCCTGGATACCTTTAACAATAACAGAGATACACAGGATGTCCTAAATTGTCAAATTTCCAAAAAGACCCTGTAGCTCAGAAACGAAGAGGGCTATGAAAATTTTGTTTACGGTATCTTCCGTTTGACGAAAAAGCGGGACAGGTTGGTGCAAACCGCACCCTTCTATCTTCACGAATAACGGAGATACCGCATGATTTTAACTAAAATAGGACACCCTGTACACTATAAATGCAGCATTTCTTAACATAATATTATTATTATTATTAATGATAAACACTGCATGTATATGTTATTAAATTTACTGCAATTTTGTATCATCAAAAAACAAGCTGCACTGATAATCTTCAAAAACAGTAAACAATCAAAAATACAGCCAAATTCAAAGTTCATTCAGTGTTTTTGATGAAAGGTTAAAGTACTAATCAAAGCTGTTTTTGTTAAAACTTATCTTATGTTTAGTATTAAGCTTGAATGCTCTTAATTTATAAAATATAAAATGCATTACTTCCTGAATTTCAGAAATAGGGCTGCCAGATATCCTACTTTTTACAATTTTATTTTGGTAAATATATTTTACCAAATTATTATTAAATTTATTTTATTATTTTTATTTTATGATCTAGTCCTGAATTTTCAAAATTCAAATAACATTATTTGTAAAGTTTTTATCTTGGATTTAATTACTTATTGGATTTAAGACAAACTTTTTTCATAATATAAATACCTATAATCCATAATTCTTTTGATATATGTTTAACTACCATATACTCATCTATATTTTATAATAAACCTATTAGCAGATGTGAAAATAAGTTTGAGATAATTTTCTGATGAAAAACCTGTTTTCAGATTGTTTTTAATTAGAATATAATATCCATATTGTAATGATACTGCTTCCCTACTCTACTCAGCATAATTGCTTTATGAATAAATGAATAAAAAATAAAATTATCAACTAAAATAAAATAAAATATTCTCACCTGGCTATCAGGTTGGTCTATATGTGAGTACAATACTTTTTCTGATAGAGTTAAAGGTCTGTTTAATCTTTTCTTCACTACTTCAAGATTTTTAACGAGCTTATCATAGGGTAAGGGATCCGTATCGAATTTGGACATCGCAGTTTTTGCTGCAGCGGCTGCCAATGGTGAAACATGAAAGCACCGTATCTGTACATCTTGGAGGACAACGGCACTCGCTTTTCCTCCCTAAAATTCATTTAAATGCTAAATTAAGTTCGTATTACTTAACCTAAAACTTGATCTTATATAAGTGGGTAAATCATTAAAATTTTAATAGAAAAAGGAAATACACTAGTACCTAATTTAGTAAAAAATAAAGAACGCCAGTATCTCATTATATAAACGATTTTAAAAAGTTTTCTATGGCCTTAAAAACTTCCAGTTATGAATTAAATTCTTCTTGTTTTGTCTTAAGATTATGAACTTTGGTGTATAAACATGATAACGGCATTTGGGATCAAAGTCTTAACTGCAAAAAATTTTTAAAAATTCCGAAATTTGCAAAAGATTAATTGTTATGTAACTTTGCAAAGGACGTAGTTTTTCTCGTGATTGTTAGACGTTACCGGTATTGGTTAGAATTAATTAAATCGGCTTAAAATAATGCAAATATACTTACATGGCGATGCAAAACTCGCATACAGTACGCCATGGTAAAGAAAAACGATTTTACTGCCTATTTCACTGGTAAAGTCTACTTCGGGATGTTTTGGGATCCACTTTTGTCTACGTAACGACGATGTTCTGTGGAATTGGAATCAAGTCTCGTTCCAGTGTGCACCTGCGCTGTAATAACTTCTCACGAGAACTAAAATAATCTAGAAGCTGTAGAAAATTATTATTGAGTAAACGCTGACCGAACTGGACTTTTAAAAGTGCACCAATTTTATCTTAAGCTTGTTTTTCGCTACGATACAGGAATATTGGCCGACGATTGAAATTTTAAACGTCATTACTACGCCACAGATATGTCAGAGTAATCAGCTGATCGTAAAGGGGGACATACACCTAAAGCATAAATACAGACTCGGGTTAAAGCTCTGGACTGGAGGTCTGGAGGTTTTGAAGAAATGCTTATTCTTATTGATATCTATATCTGATCTTTTTTAATATAAAAGTTATTTTGTACATTATACAGTAGACTTTAAAATTAACTGTTAACTTCTAACTTCTAAAACTCAATATTTACTAAATATCTAATCTAGTCTGTCCACTGAAAGGATATATATGACAGTGACTGTTTTTACTTAGATGTTATGAGTTTTGGAACGTCTGAAATTGTTTAAAAAGGTATTTGTGGCGTTTAAAAAAAAGAGCATGTTCTATTCGGAGTAAAAAACTTTTTGTGCCTCGACTGTATGTCGCCGTAGTCAATTGTACAGCCTCGCCACAAAAAGTGTTATTTTTACTCCTAATAAAACAATATACCGTATGATCGAATAAAAACGGCATCAGCGATGGCTATGAAATGAAGATCGCTATCATTTTATGTGTAAAGTTATATGGGAAATATCATCGATCGTCATTTCCAAGCCAACTGGACGCCGTTTTTTTTTCGATCATACGGTACCATTTTCTCCTGTTTTATTTTTTAATCTTTATAGTCTCTCTAACGAAAGGATCCATGACAGTGACATAATTCACAGGCAAATTGTATTTTTGTCATTTTTTAAAAGTCTGTCAATTACATTCCTTTTTTAAATCTCACTGGTGAAAATAATGTTTAATAATACCCTTGTTTATGTAAAGGATAATACCTTTGTTTAAGGATAATGCTGAGTTGCTAATTGACCAGCTAATTCGTCCACAGATAATTCGTCTATGGATTACTTAAATACTCTAGTAATCTTCAAAGTCATAGGCGTACTAAAAATAAATAAAACAATTTTATTAATAATTGTAACATAATACTTGAAAAGGACTATAGGCTGTACGTAAAAATGTTATACTCCTATTATGCAAATATATATATATATATATGTAATATAATTAAATCATTTTTATAGAAAATGTAGAACAGTTATTATCAAACTGCAAATATTAATTGTTGAAAAAATAGATAAGGGGTGTACATAGAAACAAGTTATTTTAATGATATCTCTTTATTTTGGTGATGTAACAGAACAATAATTAATGAATATTTAAGGCACCAGTTTTACATGTTACAATACTACTAAAAGTACAAATGTCATAGAAAATACGCTTTATAATTAAGGATCTTTAGGTTTAAGACAGCTTTTCTAGATAACCTCATAAAAGGAAGTCTCCATTTTAGAAATACGCAGAAACGGGATGAAGCCTTTTAATCAGGTTACCTATTGACAGGCACAAAATGCGTTAATTATATTACCTTTTAAATGTTATCATTAACTAACTACTGTAACATATAAAACAAATTAAATATTTGTCAGTATCGAGAGTTTAGGTAGAAATCCGTAGCTAACTTTGTAGCCAATACATTGTATACTAAAATGTACTTATCACTTACTTAGACTTTAGGCTTCTTTATTGCAAAAAATAAACTTTACACATATAAATTAAACTGAATAAAACAAAAAAAAACGCCTTCGATAAAATATGACAAACATAAACTACTTCGTTATATAAATTATTTTTCCTTAAACCCAACTTAATAAAAAGAAAATAAACCGATTATACTTTTTACGCAATCGGTTAGTTTGAAAGCTTGGACATAATAAAAAAGGACTAAAATAGAACATTATGTACAAAAAAATACAGGATTAAAATAATGTTATACTGACTCTTGGGATGGGTGACTTTTCTTCATGGGCTGGGGAGACATCTGAAAAAATAATTTCTCTAATTAATGAATAGCTATCATATTTCATTACATAAAATTAAATATTTTCTGCAAAAATGTATATTAAATTAAAAAATTCTCCTTATACAGAGTGTCCCAATATTCCGGGAATATAGAACTACTACGCATTTTTGAAAGCAAAATTGCTGTCCTCCATTCGAGAATTTCAGGTTCCACAGCTTTACGCCGTGGGCTACTCGAGAACGGTTGAACTAAAAGGAGCTGTGCACGATAGTCTGGTGCCTCCATATAGCGCGGAACAGTTCTGAACTTTATGACTCAATTGAATGGAGTGAGAGTATCGCGATCTTGAACAGTTCAGAGCTGCACAACTGCGTGAATGGAGGACAGTAAATAAGGTCATTGGACACAATTTACCTATATACAAAAGTGCTTGGTTTGTCCGTTAGGGGGCATAAAACTTTAAAAAAATTAACATATTTTGTTAATCTTTAACTAGTTTGGTTAGGTTAGGTTAGGTTTAAGATATTATTTTTGGTATCGGGAATGTTGAATTGATTATATATATAGATCTTTTTTTAACTCGTTAATTATAATTTTCACCATTTTGCTACATTTTTTTGTCACAAAAATTAGGCACAGTCAAAACAATGTCAATCACATATCGCAATATCTCCTTATAAACTTTTCATTACAAAAAATATCTTTGAATAATTAACAAATGCCGTGAGAAAGACAATATTTGAACAGAAACATTGATAATATATGATTCTGTATTCTGTATAGTATTTTATCTAAAATAAACAGTTTAATTTCTATGAAATTAGTTCCTTCGGTATATAGATTATGGAAATACTGGAAAATCTTTATTACTTAATGTGGTGAAATGTAAATGTTTTTTATCGAAAACCGAAACAAATATAAAATTAATCAAGAATATAAAACTATAGAAAAAAATAATTGAAATACGTTTATAATTTAAGCCGATTAAGCGTTAGGCCGTGCACATACGGGTCGTCTCAAACTCGAAGCGGAAGCATCCCGAACTCCTACATAAATAATACTAGGTCCACGAACGGGTCGTTTGGCGGTCGACGCGAAGTCGAAGTGATCGATACTACACCATCGACACGAAAAACGGGCACGTAAAATTTTATTATTATTTAGTATTTTAAAGTTTTGTATATCGTGGAAATTATGTGGAAAAGATACACCTAGATGGCAAAATGATTTTTAAATTCCTTGCTTTGTTAACATACTCCACAAGGTGTTTCAAACTTTCACCAAAATATCAACATTTTGTTTTCCCTCGTATAATTGACAGGCGGAAACTTTTAATTTTAATTTAGAAAGAGATACTAAAAAGTCAAATCATTTAGGGTGTATTCCGTTGCTTACCTTGGTTATGGTTTTATGTTCCGTTTCTATCGGTTTCCTGAAAGTTTTTTTATTACGGAACACGGTTCCTGAAAAATTCGGTTATAACTGTCACCAAACTAACCAGCGCGAGAAGGCTGGTTTTGTTTGTCAATCAATGTCATTTATGTGACAGAAATCAAGCAAGTATTGGAAGTTCGAGTGAAATTCTGATTTAATTTCTAAAATTTGTAATATTTTGTATTTACATCCAAAAGCAATGGAGGTAGGCAGTAAAGGTAAATAAATTTCATTAACTAAATAGAATTACTTTTTAGGACCAATTTAACTTATCATGCAGCCATTGTTTCTTAAAGTCAGGAACATTTAAAGAAAACATGAAAAACAAGACAAGTAATCGTGAATGTTTTGTAAGCTATAAAAATATAAATATTGATTAGATTTGTTTATTTATTATTGATCTGCTTTAATATGGACCTGCAAACCTTTACTTGAGCTGTCTAACGAGTTTAACAGTTTATTAATAAAGTACTTTTCAATATTAAACTCCATTGAAAAAAAGAAGCAAACGTAAAAGCGGAGAATAGGTACATTAAAAATGCATAAAAGATAAATTCTATAATAGAGGTATTGAAATTTAGAAAACGTCAACATTTGACGTTTCCAGTATTTTACCAAACCGTTCCGTATCAAACCGATGTTTTTCAGGAACCGCTCTTTACCGTAGTTTACCGGTCTGGTTCGCCTGGTTTTGCAACGGGACTTAGCTCCAAATTGCTTAAAAAATCATCAAAATCGGCCAACTAGAACAAAATATATTAAACGTAAAAATAAATCAAAATTTTAAGGTGCCCGTTTTTCGTGAGTGTATTATTTACATACGAAGGTAGAACGGAGGGGGATTCGCTTGGAGTGCGAGACGCTTCAGCGGACGCTCTTAAATTGGTACCAAGTAATTAAGTACCAACTTGGAGTTAAAATCTAAAGAGAATAAAAGGCGATTGAACATTGGCTACACTACCTCCTTAAACGTGTAAAGTAGTATAAACGCATAGAATGTAGAATGTTTAGGAGGGGAGTTAATCACCGCGACCTTATAGATCTATTGTGTGTTCCCCTTACTTGAGTTATAACGAGTTATAACTATAAATATATAAAATAAACGCATATGAAAGCCTAAAATTATAATTAAGAGAATATAAACCCAAACTATTTTTCCAGATGTAGTATATTTATCAAAGATTTTTACTCTTACTTCAGAATATTAACTCCATAAGTTCCATGGTTCTACATCAATATTAACAATCACCCATGCGTTACTTGTGTTTACATTTATCATTAACAGTTCACTACAACCAACGTTCTCTATTATTAGGACTTTAGGACCACTCTTTTACACAAAATATTATAGCGAAGTGAACCAAAATACAACTATAGTCTATCCAACGGAAGGATCCTTGACAGTGACAGTTGTTTCTGTCATTTTAAATCATAGGTAAATCGTATTTTTCTCTAAAAGGATTCCAACAGGACAGACTATTATATCAAGGAGTGTTGTCTCAAAAGTAAATGTCCACAACCCAATGTTAGATGGAATGAATCCATTTATCTTTAGACAAAAATATCCTGTACTGAAGTTTCATTTGAGCAGTCTATTATCGGCATGAAACTAACCCAATTCAGTTGTGTTCTGGATACGTTCTTGCCAAGATCCGAATGTCTATGGATGGCGGCTGTGGTGGTATACGTCTCAGGCTTATCGCTTCTCTCGGAAAGGCTTCTGTGCTTGGTGGGAATATCGCGTAGAGTGACATCGATGCCTTCTAGCCGTGCTCCCTCCGTTCTGAGACTACTCAGAACCGGAGACGTGTGCGGAGACATTAAAGACGGCATGTCGACGTTGCCCGTCGAATTGATGTATATGCTGGTGGTATATACAGGACGTTTGGTTGAGATTTCTGAAGTTGACCTGAAAATGAATTTAAAATTGAAATTGCCATAATGAATAAAGTCATGTTGGAACCACTCTATTGATGCGCTAGTTTCTAAATTTAACTTCTGTAACATGTCTCGAAAACCATTTTCTAAAAAACGTAAGTAACGTTCACCGGTCAACGTATCCTCGAAAATGTATGGCCAATAAAAGTTGAACCAATAATCCTACATGCTTTTCTTCTTTTGAAAAATTTACATGTACAATTTTTGTTTATTTTAATTTAAAAAGTTTAGATGTGACAGTTTCACATTTCTAAAAGCAACGACTATTGAATTTATTTCTATGGCTAAGTGAAAAAAATGGCGCTTTTTATGAAGTAATGGCCAACTATGGTCTCCATTTAAAAAAGCATGTTTGTGTTATATGTCAAAAATGACATAGGGCACAGTCTCATTAAGGATGTGATTATTTACAACTTTTATCAGAACACTTTTTGTCTAAAATAGATTATAATTAGTGATGGGATAACTCAAGCAAAAATTCGCTCGAGTACTATGAATGAGCGATGCAAGTGACGAGTACCAAGCGACGAACGCAAGCGATCGTAGAATGAAATAAATTGAAATCCGATTTTAATGTGACATACTCGATAAAAAGCCGAGCGAATTTTCTACATACATTGCAGGTAGCAAATTTATACGACGTTATCCGTTGCGTATCTGAAGGACAAAATTTTACGACCTACATCGACAATGCTTTGAAATAAACTAAATCAAGCAATCAAGCGAATCGCTTGCTACTTGCTGTTCATCACCGAAATATGTGCCCAGCGCACGCAACTTGTTTTAAAAACCGTATTTTTAAAAACGAGCGATATTTCGCTCGAGTGATCGCTCGATTATTGCAATCGCTTGAAACTCGAGTACTCGATTATTGAAATTAATCGGTTTTTCCCATCACTAATTATAATGGAATTAGGGAAATTTTTTAAAATAGCCTAAATTTGTTTTAGGAATATCTAGTAAGTCATGAACTTTTTCAAGAATCTGAAAGGCGCATATTTATAATCACACAAAACTGCAATTCTTTTCCTTTTAACCTACTCTCTATCTTCAGTAGTTTCCGAGATACCCATAGAGAACATACCCGTAGAAAACCAACCCTTAGTTATGCTTAGTAAAAAAGCAACTTTTTTACACTACGGAGGAAACCATTTACATAAAGATCTAAAATTTCAGTGTTTAATAGTAAACCGGGAGGATAACTCAAAAGGTACAAGGATATTTTCCATGAAAACTTAAAGAGGATAAGCATGCAGAATCAATGGGAGGAAGCAGCGCACAATAGAACACAATGGAGAAGAATTGTAAACTCAGTTAACAACGACAACCAAAAAGTAAAGAGGCAACAAGGTAATGAGATTTTTGAATGTCTGGAGTGCGGTTTCAGTCACAGAAAAGCTTATGAAAGAAAACGCCTTGCGTAGCCATCTTCTGATTTCTGATGCGTGTCGAATACTCGTCAATAATGACAATGATAATGATGATTATAATTATAATGATTTCAAACTTACCTGTTAAGGTTCAAACTCAAAGTCGGTGAATTCCTCGAATTCTCGGCAACTTTAATTTCTAACGACTTTCTACTGCTGTACAACGTGTTCTGACTATTTCTCAGTGCCACTACCTCATCCGTTTTACTTTCTTTTTTACTTTCTCCATCTTTTTCAGGTACTTTACCGTCATCCTTTATAGAAACCGTCTTTTCGGGCTGTTTAACAAGTTTCGGCGGTATAAACCTGGGCATTCTCGTCACCCAATGGTCGTTCCCCGAACTGACCGAGCTGGTACTGGCCGCGGAACTGGTATTCGAACTGGAATTAACGTAGTGTCCGTTCCGTCTCTGATAGAAGAGGATATACGCGCTGTTGTTCACGAGGAGAGGGCTGACATCGTTGACGTCTTTGTTTAAATTCACAACTTTGGCATCGTCGAACATGTACCAGTTCTGATCGTAGAGATTTTTACAAGCGGCCGTATAGTGACCTGTTTCTAAATCGGTGCCGTGATGGTAGCAGACTGCGTACAGGTCGTACATATTATCGTTTGAATGGGACTGTTTTCTGGTACGTTTCCACGACGACCAGCCGTTGTTCATGTTCATGATGCTGTCGTTATCGGTGATACTGTTTTGCGTGGCGGAACTGGTACTTCTTTTACTGGCTAGATGGGGCGACATGTCGAATCCGTACACGGGAAAATCGACCATGGTAGTGAGTTTGGTGGAGTTACCTCCTCTAACTGCTTGCCTAAAAATAAAAATAAAAATATTATTATTTTAAACTTAAAGTAGTATTAGGGTTAGCGTATAGAGTAGTGATGGGATAACTCGAGCGAAAATTCGCTCGAGTACTCGATCATTGATATAACCGACATCGCTCGATTATGAACGAGCGACGAAAGCGATCCTATCGAGCGAATTTGCTACATACATACATAGATTGCAGATTGGCAATATTTTATCAGTATTTTTGGTAAAATATCTTCAAACAACAGACTGTTCTTTTGATTGGGACTGCATTGTTAATTATAGGACTATACGACGTTATCTGTTACGTAACTGTGTGACAAAATTTTACCACCTATATTGACAAGGCTTCAATGCATGATAAAGCGAAACAACTCGTCGCTGGTCGCTTTCCACTATCATCGAAAAATATGCGCGAAATTTACTCGAATGATCGCCCGATTATTGAAATCGCTAGAAACTCGAGTACTCGATTATTAAAATTCATCGGTTTTTCCCATTACTAGTACAGAGATACCGATCAATCGATGATAATGTGTGTACGCGTCGACTACGTAGCGAAGTGTGTAATTTATTAAACACTGATATAATTATTCTTCACCAGGGTTGTTATGTTTTAAAGTTTTAGACATGTTAGAATCTTTGTTTTAAAGAAATGTTTGGTGTGTAGGTGTTTTTTTTTCAACAAAAACAAGAAAAGCTCTTTCCCTCAACTATTTAATAAAGAAACAAAGCAGTCACTTCAACCTAATATTGTCTAGGGCAACGGCCCAGCTACGTCGGAACACCGGTTTCCATTAGAACACAGAAGTTAAGCGACGTAAGGCGATAGTAGTGGATGGACGGGTGACCGGTTCGAAACTGTATCGTGCTGTTGTCCAAAAAAAAGGCAAAAGTGTAAAATCTATTAACACACACTGCTCATTCACGCCGGCTCGAGGCCGGATGAGATGGGATATCTATCTCGTGAGTAAGAGTTGACTTAGACACTTGCCAAGTCGGTAGGCCATTGACCATGATATGGCCGAGGACAGCGGTTCGGATTCCGCGTAAACAAAGTCGGCCCCGTCCAGATTAGCCCTGGCAGCAAAAAGGAAACGTTCACTGAAATCTTTACTTTACTTTAATATTGTCTAAATTTTATAACAGAACTAATAACATACACGGTACTTTAGTCACTTAAACCTATTTTCCTATGCTATAATAAACCTATTATAATATGCTACAACTTGGACGAGTACCCTAAAAATGGAAACAAGATTTGCCACACACTTTGAATAAAAAGACCATACATATTATAGATAGATAGATAGATAGATATTCATTTATTTGTTCCGATTAACAAAAGTTACAAGAGCCCGCAGGCATGGAACATTGTAAAAATAGCAAAAAAACAAAACTTAAGACTTAATATAAAACACACATAAATACACTTAAATAAGGAAAAAAATTAGAATAACACTCGACAACAAAAAATATAAAATGTATGTTTCGAAAATCATTGTTCAGTTTAAATAATAGTCTTTCTAACCGTACTATATATATATATATATATATATATATATATATATAGTATATACTATACTACAGTAGTAGCAACTAATTCAAAAGTCCCACTACATTACAATTACTACAAACAATAAACATGCTCACTAAAAAGTGAGATATGCCAATCGGAAAAAAAATCGGCCAAACTATAATATCCCTTTTTGATTAAATAATCTCTTAGTACAGTTCTAATCTTTCCATGAGACATGGCCTGCAACTCTTCGGGGAAACTATTAAATATTTTTATAATCGAATACTCAGCATTCTTTTGTATATAAGTAAAATTACATTTCCCAGGTATAAGATATATCTATTTCTGGTATCATACCTGTGATCACTAACAAAGCCTGCAAAAAGATCTCTCTTACCGATCACAAACATATAGGCATCGTAAACATACATGCCTGTCAGCGTCAATATACCCTTCTCTACAAAAACACTTGCAACTTTCTAAACGGCTCATCCTAAATATATTACAAATACATCTTTTTTTGTAGCAGAAAGATTCTACCTATATCAGTACAATTTCCCCAAATTACCGCGCCATATCTCATTTTAGATTGCACAAAAGCATAATAAGCTGTCAATGCAGCTTCTTCGCCCACATTCTCCGAGACAATCCTCAAAGCAAAGCCGTGTCTTGATACCCCCTTTGCAACACCATCAACGTGCGTTTTCCAATCCAATCTGCTGTCAAAGACAACACCAAGCAGAGAAACGTTCTTAGTTGTAATAATTTCATCATTTTTATATTGAAGTGTAAACGCATTATCTGCTCTGTTACCAAAAGCTACAGATGCGTTTTCGATGTATTCATAGATAAACCCATTGACTAAAAATATTCTACCAATACATCACATGTTCTTTTAATTTTAACTCTCATTAATTCTGCATTCACTGCATCAAAGATCAGCGTAGTGTCATCGGTATAGAGAGTTGTATGTTCTCTCGTTATATTAGGTAGCTCGTTCGTATAAATTATATACAATAATGGCCCCAAGATTGAACCCTGAGGGACACCTTTTATTACTTTGGTTTTATTCGACACTATAACTCTACCCTGACTGTCATATTCAAAAACCTGCTGGGTTCTATTAACTAAATAAGATTCTATTAGACCCAACGCCATACCCCGGATGCCATACCTATCCAGAACCCGGCATAGTATTTTATGGTTTACACAATCGAACGCCTTTGATAGATCAATACACATCGCTACAGTTAGCTTTGTTTCATTCAATGATTATATTTACCCAACATACTTCTTAATTTTGCAAACATTACTTCTTAATTTTGCATGCAATCTACACTTTATCCTTTAAAACATGTTTTAAACATAATCCCGACTTAGGAGTTAAAATCGTATTTAAAACAACAAAACCGTTTTAAACAATAAAAACACTTGTTCTGTTTAAAACTAAACAAAAAAGCTTTTTAAGCCCTCTTTTTCGCATTTAAAAAAGGAAGAATATTGAGTAGATATGGTAGGTATTATAGGAGCCTGCCTGTGCGAGTCTGCCAAAAAATGACAGGGGCTTCAAATTATCTGTGAATGAAAATGGCAGTCAGTGTCAGGTGACACTATCACATAGATAAAGGAAATAAATTTAGATTGGAATGCCCGTCAAAATCTTGGGTCGCGACCGTTGTACGCGATCTGGCGCTGCCATACGGTTGCTAAGAACAACCGCAAACAAAAATAGAAATAAATCTCTCTTGTCCACATCTCTTGTCAAAGTCAGAATTTTCAAAAATTATAATATCTTTCAAAATCTAAACCGCTCTCATTGTAAAATTTCCGAAAAGTGTTTAAAGCGTCCATTTTCAAAGAATTATTGTTATCTTGTGAGTTTAATTTAAGTTTTATTTACTCATACCCGTGATAATTGTGAAAAAGTGACATTAAGTTGAACATTAAAAGTGACATTAAAAAGCTGTGCTGTGAACTGCATAAACCATCGTGGATCGTGGTATAACGTCGGTTTCCAATGTTTCATAGGTATTTCATACATGTCCTATTATATAAAATAAAGTTTCTTGTATGCAACACAATGTATTTTATTTATAAACTTAAAAGATAATAATAATAAATTTGAATAAACAATATTTGGCGATATAATTCCGGAAAAAGCTGAACCGCTCCGAAAGCTTTGGGTCGCGACCGTTGCAAGAATAGCGCCAAATAGTGTTTACATTGTCCTTATGAGCACTGTCCAATCTAAACTTGTTTCATTTATCTATGCACTATCATTTATTTTCTACTTGGATAGATTTTATTGAAAATATATTTTGCGTATCTTAAAACTTTTTGCATATTTATATGACAAATATTAATCTTTTTAATACAGGTTTTCTGCCAATTTTTGATAAATGACATTTAGAGGTTAATCCCATAAAATGTATTAATCAAGGTTATATTTTTTTTTTCTATTTAGAACAAGTAACAAAGGAAAAAAATCAATATTACAACTGGCATTTCTAAATTTGCTATTTGCAAACTGTTGAATTAAATAAGAACGTGGAAAAAAATTGTGAATGGATTTTCTATAATTATAAAAACAAGTAACGCTGGCGTCGATATGCGTGTTTTATTTAATATTTTATTGGCGATTTGCGTGCGATAAGAAACATTTACACAGGCCCATAAAAAGCTACTTATCGATGAAAACGTGTCCTATGACAGTATATGTCCCGTATGAGCAACATAAAAAACATTTATAAAAAAAATATTTATAGAAATAACACACAAAGAAAAACTTACTGTCTGAACCTCTTAAAATGTACAATTAGTATATCTGGTAAAGACCACACGTCTAACGTTTTCACAACAGGCTGGTATTGTTGGCAACGAGGACACCTCCAAGCATCAGTCAGCGTTTCGGCTTCAGTATAATCTCTCAAGCATTCTTCTAACGTCAAAGGAGCACCACCTGAAATAAATATATTGTATTAAATATCTATAGTATAATTTGTTTTACGACTTAAGATGGTGAGGTACAGACGATGATAACAAAAAAGACAGATGACATCCATACCAATCCATTTATTTCATTAAAGAAAGGTTCTAATATTTTGTAAGTTAACTATGGATGGGTTTATATACCGATCTAGTAATCGAAACTGCGTGGTCTGGATTTTACCGTGTAAAGCTTGATTTTCATGGATCCGTTGTCCGACGATACGTTGATACGATATTAATTTTATTGGTAGAATTTAAAGACTTTGATTGGTTAGAAAATAACGCAGTTTTTAAATTTATTGCATTTTCATGCCTCCGTTTATCAGATATACGTTGGTGTCATTTTATATTTTCGTTTCCATAACGATTTTGCTATTTTACTTATATTTTTATTAAGGGTAGATTAAATTTGTCAAAAAAGTGTCAAAACGTCCGTTATCGTATGAACGGGTCCGTTGACAGGCTGAAGTAAAATATTTACGGATGAAAAGTGGCGCGAAAACGTTATGACCAATCAGAGCACTGTCGGACCATCGTATCAACGTATAACGGATGCATGAAAATCAAGCTTAAGCAGTGATGTCGACAGCTTTAATGGAAAATCAAATGTATAAAAAGAGATAAAAGTAGGGTTGATATATTCCTTGTATGCGGTATTGCCGGATTTTGCATCAAAATTCAAACCGAACAAATAGGTGTCTATAAAAAATGTTGCATCTAGGGTTGGAACTTTATTTTTCACAATTCATTTTACTACATTTTACTACAGCTGTAATAGATTACATTTTTTAGCTTAGATATATTATCTTCATTTCACTAGTATACATGCAAGTTTTTAAAATAGTTTATTTTTTCTACACACATTTCCCTACAAACATAAAAACTGGCAACACTGTATGCGGCTTTTTATTTTATCTCTCTGTCTGTCAACCGGTCATTTATATTTATCTCTGTCGTATGCATTAAAATACAGACCACGCAGATGAAGTAATCAGAGCTAGTATAAATCCATCACGCGTCGCGCAGACGATGAACTCGACTTAAGGTTTTTGAAATTTGTCAAACTCTGGCCAAATTAAAGGTTTTTATGATTTGTGTAAAATTATGTCAAATATTCAGACTTATGGAAAATGAAAAATATTTGCGACAATGATTTTGTGAGTTTTTTGAGTTTGTGTTATTACATGTGTTTTTTTAAAGTTAAGTAAAGGAATAATCGAAAGAAAAGTAAGTATAAGTAGTAAGGTTGTATTAGCCACCAATAAAGTTTGTACTAAAGGCTGACAAAGGTTAGTTTGGGTCGAGATTTCCGTATGTCAGAAGAGTACAATGCTTTTATAATGTACCGAACAAAGAGAGAACAAACAGTACAAACGTTGCCAAACGTATGAAATAAATCCAGAAATTGTGGACATTGTTAAGAGATGTGGAAGGGGACATAGCAGATTCGTCGAGGTCGATCCAACAATCAGTACTTAAAATTCTAGGGAAGGGTGTATATGATACGTTCAGCTTCACAATTTAATTACGTCTCGTGATACTTTGTTTATTTAGTAACGAGTCGTTGGAATTTTCGCTATAGCTTATAAATTTTTAAGTGCAAGTTAGAAATACTTGCACTTTTGGTAAAAATAAGTGGAACTGAGTTGGTGTTCGACAGTGGTCGCGCCATTAGGACTCTGAATTCAAAAATCTATATCTCGAAATTCATTAGAAATAATTTTATTTACTTTACTTGATAGGAAAAGGCGTACCGGAGAAATGTGACAACGCCGCAACAGCACACCGTCGCATTTCTCTCGCTCCGACTTAATAAGATCCCTAGGCGATTTGCTTCCACACATGTAAATACCGACCCAATAGTATATAATCTCGTATATGGGACTAAAAACTGGAGTAACTACAAAATAAAGACCAAACCACACGACAGGTAAATAATAATAGCTTTTAATACTGTAGAAGAGATAAGGTCATAAGGTACTGGTTTATAAAAATAAGATTACAATTATGAGTCTAACGAGTCTCAAAAATCTTAAGTCGAGTTCATACGCATACATAATCATACCACAGACTCCAATAATATTGAAATATGATCTGTCATTTTTGAAATGAACCAATAAAACTGGTTAAAAACAACAAGAGATGATGCATGTCGGATTTTTAATATAAATCCATCCATAGTTAACTTAAATATTAGAAACATTTTAGTGAAATAAATGGATTGGTATGGACGTCATCTGCCTTTTTTTCTGCCATCGTCTGTCAAAAATCTTACTTGAGTCGTAAGACAGAGGCAAACAGATACTCTATATCTGTATTCTTACTATGAAACCTACCTTGTAAAGCTTGCGCCCTGAGCACCTTTACGCTGGTGTGTTCCTCCACTGAGTCGCTTTCATCAGCTATTATCATTCTTTTGGCACATTCCATCCATTCTAAAACGAGCTTAACGTGTGGTGGGCCGCTGTCATCGCTGCACAGAGCTAAAGCCTGGTCTATAGCTTCCATGAAGAGAGGATGTTCCAAGTCGGGTTCCAGATAGCAGGGCGGTTCCGGCTCGTTCCACGCTGGGTCGGATATTCGCATTTTAAACACCTAAAACAAGTTGAATTATCTATCTAAATTGCAGGGTGCAAATATTTAAATCAAGAGATTTTTTTTATTTTAATCAAGAATTTAAATTAAAAAAAACTTATAATAAATTGAAAAATAACTAGTTGTAAAATATTTTCCTATAAAGATATAAAAAATTACTCCTATAACGAATACATATACCCTACATGCTCAACATTGCCATCTCAGAAACTACGATAGATACGAATTCGGTTAAATGGGACAAAAGTTGCGTAATTGGAAGTCTGACAAACACCTATGAGGAAAACTCAGGTATCTTGATTAGTTTCGGATTTATGCCAAAAAAAAAATGAAAATAATACGTTTATTTTAAATGACAATATCTTTAGAACTATTGTATGTATTGCAACGTAAGTTGGTAGTTTTATATTTTTGACCTTGGTCAATTAAATGCCGTTTTCAGAAAATTTTTGAAACAAGTTTTTGTTTTCTTACGGCCATTTTAAATTTTATCCTATTAGATAGAGCAAGAAATAATCAATACGATGGTGTCTAATTTTTATTCATTATTATGTAAATTCACTAAAAATATGAGATTTTTTAAAAATTCGCTCAAAAGATCAAGTCTGCCTTGGAAATCCAATTGACATTTTATATGACAACAAGTTAATTTTTGTTTACTCTATTAAGGGTTAAATCTGGACAAAAAAAAATTATAGTAGATAGTGTAAAGTGTATTAACAGTCAGCAATATGTTCACAAGTGAGGAAACACGAGATAGTATAATGTTTACTTAAAAAATAACAGAAATTCCGATATGGCATGCGCAAGTTATAGGACATTGTATCCTGAAAGGACATAGCCTCATCGTACTATCACAGATTATAAACTTTGTTTTTTCTTTATTGTTTTTCGTGGTTCCAATTTTCGGAATCGGGCACTAGTTAGGTTACTAGTTTGCGCACATAGCACGCCCACTTATGGCCTCTAAAATTATGCACAGGGCCTGACCGGCACAGTTATTAGAGGTATCAGAAAACCGAATAGCGTCATGCAGTATTGACGCGTACCTTATCATGGTTACGATATGCGCGAGTCAATTTTTAACGCAACACCCGCTAATAACGTTACTGCCTGACGTAATTTGCGGATCAATTACACCAAGCGCTATTTCTAAATAAAGTTTAAAAATTGCTTAAATGGGCATGTGCGGGTATTTGACAACCGGGGCCGGCCGGCGAGATCTTTTATTTTAGGTTATGTTTGAATTGTTTTGAATTATTACTTTAGTTTTATTAGGTAATTTAATATTTAAGTAGCTGGGATTAGTTTTAATTAAATAAATATGGCCCAAAATATGGATTCCACCTCTTCCAATATTAAAGAACCTATAAAGAGGCTTAGGTTTACAGCAGATGACGACTTAGCCCTTCTAAGAGAATTTGTTGCTTGTTGTCCTAAACCCACTGGCAGACGTTCAACAATAAAGCACTGGAAATAAGCACTTTAGCCCTTTAGTTTTAAAATACCTAGTAAACAAAACAATTTCAAAGTTTTAAATTCAAAGTTAGGTTAAGTTTAAATAGCGGACGCGACGCGAACAGAATTCTTTCCGATCCGATAACTATAAATGAAGAGAGTTAATCTTGTAAAGGAAATAACATCTGGCCTTATTAACGTCCATGCACGCTATTCGGTTTAGCGATATCTCCCTATTACGCTGTTTATTGTTATTTTACGCGAGTTTATTTTTGCGTACAGAAAATTTTACTCGTTTGCACATCGTCATAAAAAACAATTTTCGTACCACGAATTAGGGATAAGATTTTTATCTGTATACATATAGTATACCTAATCTGTGGTACTATTTTCGCAAGGATTTCAAAAAATTTAGCAGTTGCTGGTAGCTTTAAAAACAAGTGGGCAATATTTTAAAAGACTTAATGATATTAATGTGCTAGCTCAGACTGAAATTAATCCGGAACCCTCTAGCCGTAAAATAAGTCGCGAGTGTTGTATAAGTGATTCTTATGTAGGGAAAATTATCAAAAAACCTAAATATCACAACTTTAAATTTAAATGTGTACCAAATTTACATTTTTTTGCATGCTTGTGATCACGAGAGAACATTACAATTTCGCAAATGGTTTCGGTAAAGTGTTAAAGAGAGCCCCCTTTTTTCTAGAAAAATAATATGGACGGATGAATGTTTATTTACAAATTCTGATACACTTAACAGAAAAAAAATCACATTATTATGCATAAGAAAATCCCCATATAATTAGAGAAACCAGACCACAAATAAGATATTCTTTGAACGTGTTCTCGACAATATAATTTTAGGTTCTGTATTGAACTCTACTATACAATTTTTGTGCGTCCAGATTTGACACTTAATAGAATAAACAAAAAACAACTTGCTTTCATATAAAATGTCAAATGGATTTCCAAGGCAGATCTTTTGAGGCAATTTTTAAAAATCTAATTTTTTAGGGAATTTACATAATAATGAATAAAAATTAGATACCACCGTATAGATTATTTTTTGCTCTATCTAATAGGAAATATCTAAAAATTCAAAATGGCGGCCATAAGAAAACCAAAACTTGACTGTTGTGCGAAATCTAGAAGGCTTAGAAATTTTCTGAAAACGGCATTTAATTGACCGAGGTCAAAACTTTAAATAAAAAACTACCAACTTACGTTGCAATAGATAAAATAGTTCTGAAAATATTCTGATTTAAAATAAACGTATTATTTTCTTTTTTTTTACATAAATCCGAAACTAATCAGGATACCGGGGTTTTCTTCATAGGTGTTTGTCAAACTTTTAATGACGCAACTTTGGTCCCATTTAACCGAATTCGTATCTCTCGTAATTTCTGAGATGCCAATGTTGAGCACTGAAATTGTCACCACCCTGTATATAATATGTTTTTCATTGTTTGAAGGTGTAATGTATGTAGGTATGTAAATGGATTAGTCACGAGAAATTTTACTGGCAATTTAAGGTGGAAAGTAATATTTTGCAATGTTATATTTTTCACATAAATAGTATGGGTAGAAATATACTGTTTATTATTGGTTTCAACTATAAATACTAAAGTATAAGCTTGTCTAGTGTATGTAAAAAAATACAGCAACACAAACGTATACAACAAATTATGAAACATAATCTTTCCCAGAACACTGATAATTTACATTGATTACAAAGTTAAAAAATGTTGTAAAGACTTAAAATTATTAAAATAATTGCATCACAGATATATACCATATGCATCTCCTGATAAGATATTATGAATAATGCAGGTGGAATGTATATTTCATATATTTTCTTTCTGAAGTATTAAATATAGTATTTTAAGATTATCTAATTAATTATTAATAATATACAAAGCTCTATATTATATTTATGTTATTACTTGCGGATTTATTTGATTTTTCTTTTTTGTTTCATTATTTTACGATTTATTGCACTTGAATAATAATATCGTGTAATCATAAATAAATATACTTAAGCAGGTCATACAGTTACATATCGATTTGATAGTGTAATGTTTTACATTTTAAAATAAATAAATAATGCCTTCAGGTGTATTTACCTCTTAAAAATTGAGCGGAGCCGTTTGGTTAAGTTATATAAAAATACGGTGTATACTCATATACAGTGTACCATCGAAAACGTTCCGCAAGACATAACGGCCAGGATATTTTTTTTTTATTCAGAAAATCCAAAAACACGTCAATTTTGTTTGTGAGGGGGACAACTTTTGCCCCATAAATGATTGCAAAATCTTCAACCCTCTAAGCGGGGGTGTCATCCCCCAACTTTTTTCAAATGGGAAGGGGGGTCAAGTGGCACCGCAATGAAAAGAGCTCTCTATTCTCTATATTTCCCCGATTCGTTTTTGAAAATCGGTCGAGTCATTGAGAAAATATGAAGGATTGAAATTTGAAAAGTTTATTTAAACATTTATCAGAATTCCTTCGACCAATTTGCTGTTTTTTCTTATTATTTCTAGATGTTTACGCATTTTTTCACTTGCCACAAGGTTGAACGATCAGGTGCGGTCTCAATATCTTTAAACTGACCTACAATAGAATTTCCCAAAAAAACCAGCCCGCGACGATCAAAATCGTCTTCGTTGAGTTCTTGTACCAACTGAATTTTGTACGGGCGGAACTTGTGTTTTTTTAATATCGTTTGGACACTTGTACGATTCACGCCGGTCGCGGTCTCATTGGCTAATTTTCTTTTACTCAGCGTACTACCCATGGCAACTTGGCCCAATACGAATACCTCCATAGCTTCATTTACTACAGGATTTTCCCTCTGCCTCTTTTTATTCATAACGGAACCAGTTTCGTGAAATTTTGCTACTAAATCGCGAACAATTTTGCCATAAAGGTGTTTGTCAGGATGGCGTTCATTGAATATCTGCGCAAACCGATTGCCACATTCATTATTTTTAAAATAAAGTTCGATTATATACACTTTTTCTGCAAGTGAGTACACCATAATTGTTAAAAAGTTCAACGATATTGAGAAGAACTTCAACGCACAAGTCACAGAACAGCTATCTAGCAACTACCGCACCTGATCGTTCAAGCTTGTGGCAAGTGAAAAAATGCGTAAACATCTAGAAATAATAAGAAAAAACAGCAAATTGGTCGAAGGAATTTATCCTTATCATTTAGTCTGATAAATGTTTAAATAAACTTTTCAAATTTCAATCCTTCATATTTTCTCAATGACTCGACCTATTTTCAAAAACGAAGCGGGGAAATATAGAGAATAGAAAGCTCTTTTCATTGCGGTGCCACTTGACCCCCCTTCCCATTTGAAAAAAGTTGGGGGATGACACCCCCGCTTAGAGGGTTGAAGATTTTACAATCATTTTTGGGGCAAAAGTTGTCCCCCTCACAAACAAAACTGACGTGTTTTTGGATTTTCTGAAAAAAAAATTACCCTGGCCGTTATGCCTTGCGGAACGTTTTCGATGGGCCACCCTGTATATATGTATGTATGTAGTCTGAGTTATTTATTTAATTTCAACAAAAATTAAAACACCAATAGAAATATGTAGTGATTGGAGATCTATATTTAATCTGTCGCCTGGAATCAAAAAATAAATATAAGAGACATAAAATATGTGAGATTAAATAGAATATGAAATGACATCAAACATATGACTGGATCTTAGTAGGCATCTCAAATAGAGATTTTTACAATGAAAAATTATTGTAATTAAAGAACTCAATATCATGGCTTGCTTAATTATTATATTTACTTCTTATAATGTATTTGAACTACTGCAGTTTAGTTTAACTGAGCCATCAAAACCCAAATCACTCGGGCAATAATAATATCAAAATCAATGTCATTGCACCCAGCTAAATAACTTTTCGTACATACTTTTAAGTACAGTTCATACCTAATAAACTTTTAGTCACGTGATTAAGCTTGACCGGCACAGCGTTGCCCACTTTTATATATTTTCTTTTAATCAAAATATTTGATGAATCTGATGTTTGAAAAAATGTCATAAATATAAAAAGTTATGAATATACCATGTAGTTTTACACTTAAAGTTAAGATATCTGGATAAGTAGTTAACGGCTCATATTTATATGTATAGTCTAAGATAAATTTGCTATTGTATGTTATACCACAGTTTAAAGAATATAAATATATCAGTTGGCCCACTCTTCGCCTGTATCAAAATTCCTCCCGCCGCTCCCCTCCTGTCTTGTAGACTTGGGTCAGTCTACATCCGTTGCTCGACGTGTACACAGCGTTCCAAGTTTATTTTAGTTTCGTTTTCGGTCCGACGCATAGAGTGAACCAAAAATAGTGTTTTAGTTGTTTTGTTCGAATTGTGAATAAAATGTCTACTAGAAATATTTGTGCAGTGGATGGTTGTGAAAGTAGAATGATAGACAATATATCGTTCTTTAGGTGCCCAAAAGATGAAGGAAGGTATATGTTTATATAGTATGGGATATTAAGAATATAATAATTAAAGTATTAGACATATTAAGTATATTATAATTATGGAAACCCAACTATGAATAAATTGTTTTAAAAATATACATATAAATTAAGAAAAGATTTTACTCGAAATATGCACAAAATATTTATTTTTAACAATTAGTTTATTGTTTTAGTAGATATTTTAGAGTAGTCGTAGATACTTTACTATTATGTTTTGGATTTTCCAGTATTTACCAGTTGGCAAAGTGCATATTAAATTATTTTTTAAGATATTTGCATTTTTTTAAATAGCATGTTTTGCTTTTTAGATGTTTGTATTTAACTTTAACTACCTACCTGGAAAGTCCAAATTTTATCGTCAGGTAATAAAAATACGTGCATACAACTTGTTCTGCTATTGACAAGTTTTTTAGAGTTTTTACTAAATTTTATGCAACAGTAAATATAACAATTGACGAGCACATGGGAAAAACGATGAGTATCCAGAAATGATAAATGTTCAGGAAAACGTTTTTTTAATTCAAATTACGCATGGACTTTTATATCGTTTTCCCCATTTTTAAATGCCTGTTTCTATGTGGCCGTTATCGATATTCCCGTTTATTTAGGTACCATAAGGTGTAGCCCCCTCCCTTTTTGGTATTTTCATTGTTTTTCCCGTGTGCTCTTCAATTAGTAAATATTGTAATAAATTATATTTGCATATTTCTTAACTTGTTTTGCTTTTTAGCTATTTGCATTATTTAGCTTAAGCATGTTTTGCTTTTTAGCTGTTTGCATTTAACTTGAATTATCTACCTTTTTATCAAAAGGTAATAAAAAGTACTTGGATACAACTCGTCCTGCCACTGTCAAATTTTTTTCAGTTTTTACTAAATTTTATCAAACATTAAAATTTATTATTGAATTAACTACTAACAACAATAACTAAACAGTCATAATTACTGTTCAGGATAATCATAAAATGTAGAATAAATTCCAAAAAAATTGTCAATGGCAACACAAGTTGTATGCAAAGGTACTTTTATTACCTTACGATAAAATTTGGGCTTTCCAGGTAGATAATTAAAGTAAAATGCAAACATCTATAAAGCAAAATATGCTATGATTTAAGAAATATGCAAATATATTATTATATATATATTAAAAAAATTAACTTATTATATTTATTTAGAATACATTTTTCATATGAGGTTTCCATAATAATTATTAATAATAATTCCCCTATTGACAATTCCATATTCCAAAGAATTAGGATAGAATAATATATCTAATATTTTAATATTAATGTATTCACCATAATATGTATAAGTAGAGTCTGGTAAGGAAAATAACTTGTAGGTGTGGAGCCTGGAAACATGCTTTAGGATTTATAGGATCCCACAGATATAAAAATTATACACCAGAACAATAACCGTATTAGAATTTGCGGATATCAATGGTGATATGATATATGAGATATGTTATTAAATCATAATAAGAAGAAAGTAAATAAATATTGATCAATTATTAAAGACGCCTAAAACTGTTAATCAATAAAACTAGTACTGTATTTTTATTTTTCTACTTGCTATATTAAAATTCCTTAGTATTTTTAGTTGATCCCTCGTAGACGGCCAGCGTTTTGACTGATAAAACAGCACTTCCGCTCCACCCGGTAAACGTACAAATTTTTTGTCACCTCGAAGGGTCACGGGCCTTTGAAGTCAAAATAACAATAGAATTCCTTAGAGTGAGCCAACTGTATATGAATATTCTTTAAATTGTGGTTATACTGGTCTGTTGATAATATATTTTATGATATCATGTCATTTAACTTCTGTTTATGTAATTCCTAAATGCAAGGTGTAAATAGAGATATTTATTTATTTGTTAAATAAATAAATATCTCTATACTTTTCTGTTTTTATGGAGATCCTGAAACTACATAAATGTCGTCAAATCTTGAAAAAAAGGATAAATAGTCAAATCAAACTGTAAACAAACAAACAGTATATTTGCTTTATTGTTTGTATATGTTGGATCAAAAGAAATCAATGTACTCGTCGAGGGGTGTCTCACTATTGGAATTACATGTACATTTTCTTGGCAGTCAGTGGCAGTCTTACGGCAGTCGCCTATAATAATTACATGGCAGTCATAGGCAGTCTTTTTCGCAGGCATTGGCAGTCGCTTGGCGGTAGAGTGATATTTTGGCAGTACATGTACATTTTCTGCCCAAGTGAGACACCCCTCGGTACTCGTATACCGATCTGGTAATCGAAACTATGCGGTTTGGATTTTAACGTGTAAGACAGCTTAATGGAAAACCAAATGTATTAAAGAGATAAAAGTTGGGTTGATACATTTGTCCTATGCGGTATTGCCGGATTTCCCATCAAGGTTTCAAACCGCACAAGTAGGCGTTAAAAAAAAGATCATAACAAAATATTTGCGCTTACCCCTCTAGATTGGGATGACGTCAAAATATCGTCGTGCAAAATCGGTGCCATCTCTTTTAATATCAGTTTCTGCAGATCATCGTAGTTTGTCTCTCGGGATACCTGCATCGTATACGGACTCCCTATAACCAAAAATGTTTTATAAGTTCGTGCAAAGTGATAAGAAAATAAAATGTTTCTCTCATTTTCAAAACTGAGACAAAATATCAGAATATAGAAAAAATGCAGCATATCTGGTGATCAGCTCCTCCTTTGAAGGACGAATCAACGTCCGATATGACAGTAGCTGTGATGGATACTTATATGGATGTCGCGCCTTCCTCTAGGAGATGCAAGACCTTGTTGTTGATGGGAAAGCTCCTAGTCAGGTGCTATGGGGAATCCTCTCTAGCACGTCGCGCGTCGGCTGGATCTAAGAAGCATCTCTTTCTTGTCCCTTCCGTCCCCAGTGCGCAAGACCAGCCTCCACAAGTAGTACACAACCTACCACCTCCTCTAGACCCAACAAGCGATTGTCACGCGTTTTGGCCTTAGCTCGGCTCTTTTAAATTAAAAAAAAAAGAAAAAAAAATTAGAAAAGAAGTAAAAAAAAAATACGAAGAAGAAAAAAATATTATTAAGTTAGCGATTAAGAAAAATAAATATTTATGGAATTTGCAGGGGTCTAGTCGCGAACAAATTTATGCCCTAGCTCAGAAAATTCGGAGAGTAGGGGCGGGTTAAGAGCGCCACTGACTTTAGACGAAAAAAAAAGTCAGAAATCCCCCATGGTGTATTTAGGGCCTTACAAGTTCCACAAATACATAAATAAAAAAAAAGGTAAATAAATAAACAAAAAAAGGTCAAGATCTTAGAGAATTATGTAGACATAGGGCCAAAGGAAATATAAAAAAAAATAATGCAAACTGATTAGTTTCAGTACCCTCTATTGAAATATAAAAGGAAAATATAGGAAACAGTAAATAGAAAATACCAAATAGCAAATAGTAAATTAAATAAATCAATAAAAAAAATTGTGCACCAAGAAAAATATATCTCACAATACGCAAGTAGCAAAATTACGTAAATGCCTAGGTACCTTTCGTGATCACGTAAGATTTACAAAAATAAAATATATATGTATATATCAGCGCAACTAAATTCAGCTAATATATCAAATTAATCAACAAATTAATAAATCAAATAAATAATAATACTAAACCAATTCACTAATAATAATAATTAATAATATAATTATTAAATAAATAAATCAAACTAATCAACTAATAATTATGAATTCATCAGTTCAAGAAATTTAGATATCGATAAAAAAAATGAATAGATTTAAATTTTAAATAGAGACAAAAAGAAACTGTGTCAGCTGTATTAAATTTACAAAAAAAAATTAAAGGAAAAAAAAAAATGAGATATTATTTTATCAACAGAATTAGTATGTGAAAATTTATTCTAATTAAATTATAATGTTAAAAAAAATTATCTACGTTCAGTATTCGTACGCACCAATGAAATTCAAATCGTAAGATAGGGAAAAAAATAAAAATTGAATTGTACGATACCAAATAGTTGAAAATCTTCTAAATCAAATCAATCTTGGGCAGACACCGTCGGCTGTCAACTGTCAACCGTCGACTGTCAACTCCTCCAGAAAAGTAAAATGGGTACAGCGAAAAAAACTGCTCCAACAAAAAACTGGCTCAGAGAGAAGTCTTCAACACAGAAGAAAAAGCTTCTTCGGCCCAGACAAAAAAACTTCTTCGGTCCAGACAAAAAACTCTTCGGCTCCGACAAAAAAAACCTGCTAACTCAGGTTTTCTACGAATCCTCAGGTGATTAATATTATTTCTTCCCTGGATGGAATGGGGTGCTCAATAAAAAAAGGCGGGCTGCTTGGTTGACCCACGTCAGCTTTTGAGGGTGAAAATCCGTCACCGGTAAACCGTAGCACCGTCCAAAAAAACAAAAGGTAAAGATAGGATGCTGCAGTAATTTTTGAGGCACACTCGAAAATCCCCACAAAGGGTAAAAACAAAAAACTTGACAAAATGACCGAGAGGCCTCTGTACCTCACACTAGCTGAACATAAAGTGACCAAACCAAGGTAGTTCCAAGAAAAAACGAAAACCTTTTTGCAACAAAGAAATAGCCAGAGATAAAAACACGAGCCCTTGATAAAATATGGATTGCCAACCATGAGCTGAATAAAGACATGAAGAAAAAAGTTATATATTAAAGGAAAATAAAGTTAATATCAATAATTTATATAATTAATAGAATAAATAAAGTTAACGAGATTAATGAAAGTTATATAGAAATTTGCTTATCAAAACATTCAAAAATTAATAAATAACAACAATCTAGAGATATTGGGCATGACTCACTTGCCGGATCGATACGATATTTTTAAGACAATTATGCTTAAAAATTCTACCTAAAAATTAAAAATAGAGCAACATAAATTTAATGAGTTTAACTAAGTGACAATAGGCTCAATAATTACTGTTGATTAAATAAAAATACAAAATATATAATCAATTTATTAAAGTATATTTTGGGTTGCCTAATAGTTAATGTTAATAAAAATATAAATAAATATTTGACAGTTCAATTCAAAAATTTCTAACCTACGTATTTAGTATATAAAACAGAATTAACGGCGGAAAGAATTATTTTATCTATTTCGGCTAAAATAAATATTAAATTGTATTAAATCAAACTAGTTTTGTGCTGCAAAAAAAAATGTTATTAAGTGTGAAATATGTTTAGTTAAAAATAAGGATGGAATAATTACTTTTGTTAACATGTAAGTACGATTTATTTATTCTTGGTTTACTGAATTGAACTGATCGATATTTCAGACTAATAATAATATCAATTAGCGTTAAATTATTAAAGAAAAGAAATAAAATAGTTTAGTGAAATTTTGGCACGTTACAACCCCCCCTCTCCTTGGAATAGGAGGGAAATTTAAGGAGAAAATTTTCCGACGATGATAAACAAGAACTACTAAATGTATACTAAGAGAAAGCGAAGAAAATTATTGAAAGCAAATAGAAAAGTGAACTGAAGTAAGATATAAATGAGAAAGAAATTGATAATTATAAGTAACTAGGAACGAAAAGAAATAAAAATTACAAACTATATGACTTTAAAGGTACTAACTGATAAGGGTTAAAGGTACTGTAACTAAAAAAAACTAATCTAATAATAACTAATTCTAGGGACTCTAAATTCTAAATGGAACAGGAGGTAGGACAAGGATTTTGGCATTGGATAGGATTAAAGGTTAGGACATGATTCCCCTCAGGAAAATAGGATTGAGAGCAAATCACGGCTCGCGTGGGCAGGGGCGCATCCCTGAAGTAGGTCGGACCACCACTGGGAGTATACCTACTCGCTACCTCAGAAAAAAAAATAGAATAAAACAGTTACTCATCAGGATCTGAAACTTCATTGGCAAGTGCTGGGTCGGTGTACTGTTTTAAATCTTGTACATGCCAGATTCCTTTTGAGCAACCTAGGTCGTCTTGGAGTTCATACGACCAAGAACCGCATTTGCGTTTGATGGTGAACGGTCCTATGTACGGTGGCGCTAATTTTGCAGTATAATAGCAAGCAGCATCGGAAAGAACTTTATTTCTGCGCCAAACCTTGTCACCTGGGTTGAAAAATGCTGGACGGCGACGTAAATTATACCTGTGAGCATTGTTAGATCTTGAGGATTCGATTCTTTGTTGGACTTGTTTATATAACTTAATAAAACCTTCCTGGCGGACCTTCACATACGAATCTATATCAACATTCTTATTATCTACTTTATTAAAATTGCCATACAATTTATGTTCCTTACCAAATAACACGAAATATGGACTGTATTTTGTAGTCTCACTTGGCGAAGTTCGGATAGCACAACCAATTTCCTGTAGATGTTCATCCCACGTCCTGTGATTTTCCTGTTTAACATATGTTCGAAGCATCGTTTTCACTACTCTATTTTGACGTTCAACAGGATTAGCGCGGGGATTATAACTTGCGGTGTAAAATATTCGTGACTTATATTTCTTACACAAATCCTGGAAATCTTTGGATTTCATTTGCACGCCGTTATCACACGTCAGGAACATAGGTGTGCCAAAAAGTAAGAAAAATTTCTCGACGTGCTCTACCAAACTCTTAGAATTAGCCGATCTACAAGGATACAAGAAGACGGCTTTACTGAAATAATCCGAAATTACTAAAATGTAACAATGTCCCTTCTTGGAACGAGGCAGGGGTCCTATATAATCAAGGCTGATGGCTTGAAACGGTTCGGTTATTTCTGGACGCTCTCCCATTAGACCTGCGGGACGCTTTTGTTCAACCTTATTTTGAGCACATTCTACACAACATTTCACGTAACGAATAACATCTGATTTTAATTTTGGCCAATAGTAAAGCTGACCAATCTTAGCATGAGTCTTGAAAACACCAACATGTCCTGCAGCAGGAATATCGTGACACCTGTGGAATATGTCCTTTCTTTTATCTTTCGGAACTACCATCTTCCATTCCGTTGACGAAGATAACTCTGGTATACGCGATTTTACAAACTTATATAAAATATTATTTTCCACACGCCATAAAGGAAATTTTACAGGATTTTCTTGAACATTTTGTAACATATTCTTATACCATTTATCGGTCGTGTTAGAAAATTGGGGTAAATCTAAAATCTGGACAGAATCGATAGGAACAACAGGGGATCTCGAAAGAAAATCAGGAACAATATGGAATTTTCCCTTCCGATGGATAAGTTCGAAATCAAATTGTTGCAGACGCAACTGCCAGCGAGCTAATCTACCTTGAGGGTCCTTTACATTATGCAGCCACAACAAAGAGGCATGGTCTGTGATTACCTTAAAATGTACGCAATCCAAATAGTGTCTCAGTTTTTCTACTGACCATATTACAGCCAAACATTCCTTTTCTGTTACAGATAATTTCATTTCCTGCTTGGTAAGTGAACGGGAAAGATAACATATGACCTTTTCACCCTCCTCAAATTCTTGGGTAAGAACAGCTCCAAGTCCGTATGACGACGCATCGGTCTGTAAACAAAAGGGCTTCTCAAAATCGGGTCCTGTTA